TGTGTGTGTGTTCACAGACGGGTGTGTGTGTGTTCACAGGCAGGTGTTTCCAAAGCTGCGACTCAAACTGCTCGAAATCGCCCCAGAAACCACGTCCAGGTGTTTCAAACCAGTTCGTCTCATTTCCACTCTGGCCACAGAACTTGGGTATTTATTTGTTGTGTCTGTCGTATTTCATTGGAAATGAAAAATGAAAAAATGGTGGGTGTTGAAATTTAAACGGATTCTGTCACATCAGGCGTCAGATTGAACTGGATTAGTTTCTGGACGAATGTTTTTAAAGATTCAGATGACGTTAAACCCGTCGTGTCGAGGGTCCGTCCTTTACCTTCCATGATTCTGGCACAGATCTCGGCTCCGACCCCAAACTGGGGCCAGCCGCCCTCCACCGTCACCAGGTGGTTGGTCTTCATCACGCTGGTCTCGATGGACTCCACGTCCATCGGACGGATGGTCCGAAGGTTGATCACCTGAAACACACACAGGTGGGAGCGGTTAACGGGCTGCTGAGGTGAACACACACCTGATCGGATCGTCGGTCAGTTCCTCTACCTCACACTCGATTCCTTCTTTGGCGAGGACGGCGGCGGCGTCCAGGCAGTGACTGACCAACCGGGAGTGAGAAACCAAAGTGATGTGGTTTCCTGCAGGAAGGAATTTAGGAACTTTGTGACTTTTCCATTAAAGTTTGAAACAGGAAGTTGATTTATGCTCAGAGGAAAGAGTTTGTAGTCACATGGAGCGTCACTCACCTGGTCTCTCGATTTTGGCCTTCCCGATGGGGATGGTGAAGTCTTTGGACTGAGACTCCTCGGACATCTCGAAGGGAACGCCGTACATCAGCTCGTTTTCCAGGAACACCACTGCAGACACACACAACTCACTGTTCCTCTCTGCTGTTCAGGTTACATAGGTTTGTACTTTCTTTACATTGTCTGCAGAGTTAGAAGTTTATTTTATTTAATACAGTGTAAACAATCATCCATCAAGTTTTGTTTCTTTTCTTTAAAATTCAGTTTTATTAGATGTTAAATCTGAGCCTTTAGCTGCGTGACTGTCGGTTTTCAGGTCCGTCGTCTCGTCTCACCTGGATTATCGTCTCTGATGGCTGACTTCAGGAGACCTCTGGCATCTTCTGAACTCCAGGGACTCACGACCTTCAGACCTGGACAGTGGGCGTACCTGCAGACAAACAGGACACTGAGACCAGATCCATGCGACAGAACTCTTCATCCAGGCCCGTTACGGTAGTTTGTTCATACAAGCAGACGAGACTTTGCAGTAATCTTTTAAATCAACAGTTTGATCATTTTAATTGAGACTTTCAGGGCGTGGGGTGTCCCTGAACGCACCAGGCAGCGAAGCACTGCGAGTGCTGCGCGGCGACGCCCGCCGACGCTCCGTTGGGTCCTCTGAAGACGATGGGGACCGACTGCAGCCCGGCGGACATGTAGTAGGTCTTGGCTGCAGAGTTGATGACCTGGTCGATGGCTTGCATGGAGAAGTTGAAGGTCATGAACTCACAGATGGGTCTCAGGCCGGCCTGAGGGAACAAACGGTGACGTTTATTGAAGCGAGTCACAAAAGTCAGTTTATAAACAGAAACGAGATCAGAAGGTTCCCGACGGATCAGAACAGGATCGTGAACACAGAACTGGATTTCAGTCAAATGGTTTTGGGAACATATTAAACATCTGAGGTTCGACTCTTCTCCAGTACCCCTGAATAGACCTTACAGGGAGGCTGAGGAGAGTGATGCCCCTGTAGTTGGAGCACACCCTCCAGTCCCCCTTTTTGAAGAGGGGAACCACCACCCCAGTCTACCAGTCCAGTGGCACTGGCCCCGATGTCCACGTGATGTTGAAAAGGCGTGTCAACCAAGACAGCCCCACAACATCCAGAGCCTTAAGGAAATCAGGGCGGACCTCATCCACACCCGGAGCCCTGCTGCCTCGAGTTTTTTTAACTACCTCCGTGACATCAGCTACGGTTCCGGACAGACCAACCCCAAAGTCCCCCGACTCAGTTTCCTCCATGGAAGACGTGCCGGTGGGATTGAGAAGGTCCGAGAAGTTTTCCTTCCACATCCTGGAAAGAACAATGCAGGTTCTGTCTTGGCCGTGGAACACTGGACCAGCTCTTTACCCTCACTAGGGTCCTTGATGGGTCACGGGAGTTTGCCCATCCAGTCTACGTGTTTTGTGGACTTGGAGAAGACATTCGACCGTGTACCTTGGGTTACACTGTGGGAGGTGCTCCGCGAGTATGGGATTGAGGACTCATTGCTACGAGCTGTTCTGTCCTTATACTATTATTATTATTAGACCTTTATTTATACAGTTAGTCCCATTGAGCCTCGAAGACTCATTTACAAGCGAGACCTGTTATACCTGTTGTTCAAGCGGTGCCAGGGTTTGGTTTGCATTGCAGGTAGTAAGTCGGACCCCTTCAGGGTGGATTGTTCTCTTCAGGTCCAGGGTGAGGTTCTGCCTCAAGTCGAGGAGTTCTGGGTTTTGTTCACGAGTGAGAGAAGAATGGAGCATGGGATTGACAAAGGGATTGGTGCAGCATCTGCAGTATTGCAGACTATGTGCCGGTCCGTTGTGGTGAAGAGGGAGCTGAGCTGTAAGACAAAGCTCTCTGTTTACTGGTCGGTCTACGTTCCTCCCCTCACCTCTGGTCATGAACTCTGGTAGAGACTGAAAGAATGAGATCGTGGATCCAGGAGGTTGAAATGAGTTTCCTCTGCAGAGCTGGACTCTCCCTTAGAGACAGGGTGAGAAGTTCAGTCATCAGGAGAGACTCAGAGTAGAACCGCTGCTCCTCCACATCCAGAGGAGACTGTTGAGGTGGTTCATCTGGTAAGGATGCTCCCTGGGCGCCTCCCTAGGGAGGTGCTTCAGGAATGTCTAACTGGGAGGAGACCCTGGGGAAGATCCAGGACACACTGGACTACGTCTCCCAGTTGGTCTGGGAACTCCTTGGAGTTCTTCCAGAAGAACTGGAAGAGGCTGTGGAGAGAGATGTCTGGACCTCCCTGCTCAAGATGCTGCCCCTGAGACCTGAGTCCAGAATCAGAAGATTGATTGGATTTGATTGATGGATATTAGGCATCTGCTAAATATAAATAATCTTTAAAAACTTTATTTCCGCTGCACATTAGAACGACGTCGTCATCTTTATCTCACAAAGATATTAAATATTCTGAAACTTCAACATCAGGGGAAGCACAAAGATCCAAAAAGCAGTTTGAAGTGCTGAGTTCTAAAAAACGCTGGAGAGCAGGAACTCACCATGGCAGAACCCACCGCGATGCCAGCGAAGCCCATCTGCAGCAGAGACACAAACAGACGCAAGCTGAAGGACGATTAATTTATTCATTTTAATAAACGACCGCGACACCGAGCGCGCTCAGAAAGGTTCAGCTGAATCTCACCTCTGAGATCGGCGTGTCGATGACCCGTTTGTCTCCGTACTTTTTCCACAGACCTCGGCTCACCTGCAAACACAGCACAGGTAACATCACAGGGGGGCAAAAGGCTAGAAGCTCAAAGTAGCAAAAGACTATCTAGAAGCTAAAAGAAACAAAAGGCTAGCTTGAAGCTAAAGATATCAACGGGGTAACTAGAAGTTTAATGTAGCAAAAGTGTAATTAAAAATGAAACGTAGGAAAACGCTACCAAAAAGCTAAAAGTAGCAACAAGCTAGCTATAAGTAGGTCGAACCTAGCTAAAGGCCATCAATGGCAAAAGGCTACTGAATATCTAAAGAAGCAGAAGAGTAACTAAAAGTAGCAAAAGGCTTTGTGAAAAAGTAGCTAAACTCTAGCTAAAGGCTAGTATTTACCCGAGGGCTGGTGATTCTTTTTAGGGATTGCTAAAGACTAGCTGAACAAGAGCTAAAAGCTAAAAGCTGCGTAAGAAGAAAAACTGAGCCAGTAGCTGCAGCAGGTTTCAGAGAACAATGATTCTGAAGGAACTGAGGTTTCAATTCTTTTCTACGAGAAAATGTTTGAAATAAAGTTTGAAATTTTGAAAAGTTCACAAGTTACAAAAAGTAAACGTGTCAGCATGTATCTCCTGGACGAGCCGAACATTCTGACGTACAAACGGCTTCAACAGAAGAAGTTTGCAGACGTCGACAGATTCTTAAACATGAAAACAACACGAGAACACGGCAAGAACTGGATCGGGACTTTCGAACCGGACTGTGAACACAGCAGGTTCTGCTCGGTACCGAGCGTCCTCCCACCTTGTAGGCGCCGTCGTACTGAGCCACCTCCTCCCCCATCAGGAAGACGCGCTCGTCGCGCTCCAGCTCCTCGTCCATCGCCTGGTTCAGGGCATCACGGACCGTCACCTGACAGGAACACAAGGTTCAGAACCGTTACTGACCCAGAGAACACGGACCGGTCCACACCGTGTCCACTCCAGAACAGCTGAACAAACTCCTGACCATCAGCTCATCAATACATCCGATCAGCTCATCAATACATCCGATCAGCTCATCAACGTCTGATTGTCTATGGACGTAATAAAAACTGGTTTAATTTTACACACAGTTTCTACAGTTTTAATAAGTTTTATAATTAAAGACTGTGTAACGTGGCACGTGTAGTTACTTCAGAATAAAAGCAGGTAATTATAATTCTTATTCTGACCAGATGAGTTTAACAGTTTAATGTTGGAGGACATTCTATAAATAAAGAGTTGGACCTTTAAGACAAACATCTGTATTCTCTGAATGAATGCTGGAAATATCAAAATCATAAAACAAAAAGTAACACAGACTGCAAATATCAGTGAAATATCTAATTTTTATTCGAACAAAAGTAGAAATGAACTCAGATGAACACGTTTTGTTTAAGATGCGTGTTTTCCTGCTGCATCTGTCACATTCATCGTGTAAAGTCATTATTTGTCTAATCATCTGAGCTTTGTGAGGTTATTTTAACACCTTATTAAATAGTTTGTCAGCAGTTAAAGTCACGGCTGGATTCAGTGGGTGTTAATCTCCAGCTCTGATGGATTTAAACACGACAGGATGTCATTTTGTTCAACCAGAGGACAAATCGTGTCCAATATTGAGTCCGGGCGGCCGAGACACCAACCTGAACACCGGCCGCAGCGCTCCGCTGAAAGCCCCGCCGACCCACCACCAGCACGGCCTTCTGCGGAAAGACAGCCCCGTTACCGACAACAGGTACCGACAAGAAGAAAACAACAACAAAACAAGTCGTTGAAACGGTTTGCTACCTTTCCGGAGCGCAGGAAACACCTCAGGGACGTCGCCATCTTTACCCTGTCCTCTGACAGTGAGAGGGCGGGGTCTCAGATAGGTCAGGGGATTTCAACCAATCAGAGCAGGAGATCATGCGTCGATAGAGTATGACGTATAACTGAACCAATCAGAGCGGTTCAGCTGGGACGGAGGCGGGACCTCCCAAGGACACGGATCGAGCGGTGTATGGAAGACAAAAAGTGCCAAGAGGAAAAAAACCAAAACAAAAGAGTAAGGGGGATCAAGCAGTGTTCCTTACAGAACATGTGGTCAGTGATTCTGATTCTGAGTGGTGAGAGAAGAGAGGTTAGATAAAGGAGACTCCATCATTTGCCCCAATCTGGGCCCTTGAGCAAGGCAATCCACACCATCTGCTCCCAAACAGATCTCTCCTGAAAATGAGTCCTTGTGTCTCAGTGAGACTACCTGTATGAAAAAAGGTTAAATAAAAAATTAAAAGATACAACTAAAACAAGGCCAGGTACCGTTACTATTTATAACAGGGCTAAAAAGTTCAGTTCAATTCACAACAAGAATACTGCTGTGGTATCTTACGTACGGAGGTTTCAATGCCATGTGCAGGATGTTATTTTACCTTTCAGGCTTTTTAATGAATAAATATATCTTGTTAAATTAATATACATCTTCTAAAACATCTACAACAGTGGGTTTAGCAAATTATACTCCAGATTTTAAATACATATTTAAAAAAATCAAGTTGGTTTATTAAGTTGCACATCGAAAGCACATTGAAAACTCAAAGTTAAACCAATAAACAAAATTTTTTTTATTAGTTTACACTAAAAAGTTTACATTTTATATCTTCCCTTTGTTATCTAAACATTTTTAGGTCAGTTTGTTGCTTAATTAAAGGTTTGTGTCAAGGACTTGGTAAAAACTGTTAATATAATTAATCTTTGTAATGGAGTGCTCAGTATGGAGCATTTAAAATAAACCAGCAGCCTCCACGACGCCACCGTGGATTCAGGCTCTGAAGGTTCATGCAACCATTTATCAGTGCAGTTAGTGTCAGAATAAAAAAATAAACCCTTTTCATCATTTATAAGAAGACATACACACCAGTAAATACTGTAAATAGATTTGTTTTTATTCAAGCATTTAAAATTCTCATTACATGATGCATTCAGGTACAATTGTCACAAGCATGTGCAACAAACAAACCGTTTCTAAACCAACGTTAATTCACTTGATGCAGGGGTTAAATCTTTAACTTGAGGGTGATGAAGACGAGGGTTCTTTCTGCAGCTGAACGAACTGCCGGCCCGGTAAAACGCTCGTTTCCACACGTGAATCAACTCATCTGGACCGACCCTCCATCCCTTTAAAGTGCTGCACGCAAACATTCAGATCAAACCTAAAGAGCGATTGGAGAACGTGATTGCACAGATTGATCATTTAGAGCTCGACACTGGTTTTTGGAGGCGACGGCTGCAGACGACACAAAAACAACCGGCTGAGTTTGGGCGGTTGAGCGGAGGAAATGTTTGATTGAAGACGACTTCTCTGGGTTTTAAATGCAATCGTTTCCAGAAGAGACATTTTACGGGTTAGTGGGAATAAAAAAATACATAAAAACGATTCCTCGTCCAAATTTCAAAACAATTCTAAAGTGTAAATGAGAAGTTTTACTTCGTTTTACAAGGAACTGGACCAGAATTTAAAAACGTATCACGGTTTATTTAACAAGGAAACTAAGAAAAGAGTTGTTTATTTTACAGAGTTCTAAACTTTTCCATTTTTCAATATGAAGATTTTATTTTAGTCCTTCCTTTGCTCAGACGCTCCGTAAAATTCAGAACATTTTTCTTGAAATAAAGAGAAACAAGTCGATCTGCGCGCGTCGTTGCCCTCGGAGCCCGTCGAGTTCTGAATGAACCGATTCGTCACGTGCAGTTAAAGAGTTAAAGATTCAGACTTGTCGGCACAAACATCCATACGGCACAAAATAATCAGCTTTAGCACAAGTTAAAAAAAATCAATCATGAGTTTCCATCAGCTGGTGAAAGAACCCGAGCTCAGCGTTTTCCTGTCAGGTCTGGTGACAAACAAACAAACGCACGTCGTCTCCAGCGACAAGAAAGAAAAGTTTTTATTGGCCACTACTCGGCGATAAACGGATTCTTTAATCTTAGACGTCAAACGTGACGTTTTCTGAGCCGTTCCCGCGTTTAAAATGTTTCCATGGAACTGAAGTAACGGGAAAAATGTAACGTTTGTAGTGAAGTTTCTATCTGTGATTTCAGGGAAGCGTCAAAATAAAGTTCTTTTACTCAGGAAAACCTCTACAGCTGATTTTAGTTAAAACTTTGGACAGGAGACGAGACGTGTTCAGTGGAAACGGTTGTAAAAGTTGCTGCTTGCTCCAGAGTTGGAGCAACAGAAAAACACGTCAACGCCGTTAAAACAAGAGGCTGAAGGCAGCGGCGCCTGACAGACACAGCTGAGGGCAAAACAGCACGCCGCTCGATTTTCTCCTGATGGGCCTTAAACCGTAGATTAGAAACTAAGTAAACTTTTATTTTAGGTTTTTGCATATTTTAAGTGATTTCTTTAAATTTTATTTTTAGTTTAAACTTCTAATTCGGGGCGTTTATGGATTTATTGAGATCTTCGTGAAGGTTCCCGCTCATGTGCCGATGGTCGAGGCCAACTTTTTGCTCAGACTCGTTTGAAGAAAGATGAATATTTACAGACTTTATGTTCACGAACGTTAAATTGGGCACACGGGATGAGACGACTGAAAGCAGAGTGCGAGTTGAGCTCCACTCAGGTTTGTGCTCCCGACGCGTTAATTCAAGTCGGGTTCCTTAAAACACGGCAGAAGAATTCTGCATCTTTTAAAAGCCGACTCAGGTTTTCTGCAGATTTCTCGTCTCACGGAACTGAAACTGTTTAAGCTCAGATTATTTCTGCACACCTACTTGTCGTAAAGCAAACCTGACCTTTAGGAGGATTAGAGTCATGAAGGCCTACTAGAGTTCTGGATCCAGGATTGGGTCCAACATCCAGCAGAGTCCTGAACCCACCCTGCCCCTGGAGTCCAGCTCCTGCTTTGAACATCCATCAGAGATGAAGCAGGAGGTCCACAGCTTCACTCTGACTCTCCGGTCTGCTGCTGGGACACGAGGACCCTCCGGTACCAAAGACTGTCTGGAGAGTGGAGGCGCAGACGGACGGAGACGTCTCCAACATGTCCTCTGGTCTCTTCGACCCCAGCAACACATTAAAATGTTTAAAAAGAAAGGGGGGGGGGGGATAAAACGTGGGTTTCTTTTTCACATGTCAGGGAAGAGGGGAGCACAGTGCAGAGGTGGCAGGGTTGTTGCCGCAGCAACGGTTTCCACGTTGAGGGCGGAGTCAGACGACGGGGCTGCTGCGATCAACGATGTCGGCCTTCTTTAGCTTTCCTTTGCTGAAGGACTGGATGGAGCTCAGCAAGGCGGCTCGGCCTCCCCCAGCTCCACCAGAGGAGGACGAAGGTGGAGGAGGAGGACAGGAGGACGAGTCCAGCACAGCAGGAGGAGGAGGAGCGGGAGGAGGTGGAGGCATTGTGTGCGATCCTGGATACAAGAAAAGAGGAGTGAGACAATGGGAGTTCATGGCAGGCGTTCAGTTTCTCTGGGTGCTGGTTGCACAAAGATAAAAAACTGGTTTAAATCTCTGACCGGTCTGATCTGGGTCCGGTCGACTCTTTGTAGGTTCTGAACCAGAAAAACTAGAGAAATGTTCTGGTCCACTTAAAGAGAGCACAGAGTTGTTGGAGGCAACATTTCAAGATGTTTTCTTGTTACCAACTTTTGAAATCAGCCGTTTACAACAAACAAAAACAACTTTATCTCCACTTTTTTAAAAAAATGTTACAAATCTTGTTTCTAAACCAGTTTTTAGTCAGCGACCTCTCCTGGGAGGCGGGGCCTGAGGGTGGAGCTAAAGCACAGCAGAGAGGGACTGGGAGGGGCTTTGGGAGGCGGGGCTAAAGCACAGCAGAAGGAGAAGGCTGAAGAACCAGTAAGTTTTATTTACATCGTCGAGCAGAGTCTCAACCCTCCTGCTGCCCTAGGGTCAAAATGACCTACGAAGCCGAGCTGCTGGAGGCAGCAGGAGGGTGGTAGTTACCAGTTCAACCATATTTCAACCAATCATTTACAGATGAAACTTTAAAAGCTTTGTGCGTCACAGTAAATCAATCATCAGGAAGAAGCTGCTGTTAAACAAGTTCTGATGCTCGTAAAGCAGAAAAAGTTAAAGTCATCATGGGCGTCTCAAATCCGTCTCGGTAGTTTTTGCAAGTCAGAAAGTGAGAGACTTCAGGACGGCTGTTGGAATATGAGACCAGCACGTGACGAAGACGAATAAACTGCAATCGGAGACGTCATGAAGACACTTTGGGACTAAATTAATTTCATATTCGCAGGAACGTCGCAGTTTGTTCGTGCTCGTGTCAGAAACAACTCCAGGAGAAAACCCTCCACAACAGCCCGACCCAGTGAGATCCAGGAGCTGAACTCGACCGAGTTTCTCTTGAATTCTGCCTCTTTTCTCCGTTAATGATCGGATCGATCCAGACAGATTGTGTCTTTGGGGCGGTGAAGACGGTGCCAACACTTTTATAAAATAAAAGCAGTTTATCTTCTTGGAAGCAGCACCCACAGATGACCAATCCACCATCAGTTCAGAACCAACAGGTCCAGTGGTTCTTGAAAACATCTAAAAACTTCTGTTTAATTATGCTACACCCCCCCCCCCCCCAGGTGGATTTGACCACAGAGTGAACTGAACTTCAACGACCTGCATCCCTGAAGCCGACGTTAAAACAAAGAAATATGCAGAAAAAGAAGCAACGTAAAGAACCAACATCCAGCAGTTTGACGAAGACACCGGACCTGGAGAAACTCGCACCCAGAAGGTCTTTTACTCTTTTTGTCCCAACGGGTTTGACAATGTCCAGACTTGGACTTTCTCCAGGACGAGTGTGGGACAAACGGACCTTCATCACGTTTCTCAGCTGCAGGAGCCTTCAGAGCATTTTCATCTAATATTCAGAAGAGTTCAGGATCAACACATTCGCAGAAAATGATTCTTGGACAGAAACGACACGCGTTCCTCCAACTTTCTAGAATTTCTCCTAAAACATTAAGTGAAGGGGAACGACGCTACAACGGTGAATTATCCTGAATTATCTGCAGAACGACGCTACAACGGTGAATTATCCTGAATTATCTGCAGAACGACGCTACAACAGTGAATTATCCTGAATTATCTGCAGAACGACGCTACAACGGTAAATTATCCTGAATTATCTGCAGAACGGCGCCGGCTGAAATAAAAAGTTATAATTCAGAACCACTCGTGACGACTCCTCAGGTCGGAGACACACGTGGCCGTAAACATCTGTACAGTTGTTCCTGTGAAACAACTGCTGGAGGACACCAACAGGAATTTGGACGGAGCGCGTCTTCAGGGATCACAGAGCAGCTGCCGGTTGAAATCCTCAAAACACGGAGTTTTCTACGAGCGGAGACTTTCAGAGGGAGCTGCCGGCAGGTCGGGTGCTTTACGGTGCTTCCTGGGTCGGCCTCCTCTGAGCGACGCTCGCAGAAATTTAACACACACGCACACACACACCCATACACACACACACCCCCCCACACACACACACACCCACACACACACACATACATACACACACACACACACACACACACACACACACGGCAGCTGAAACTCCGTGGATGCACAGCGACTCGGCTGATGTTGGACCACGCCTGAACTTTAAGGCAAAGACAGTAATTCAGACCCGGCTGCGTTTAGAGCATCTTTATTTTAGGACCAACCACAAAACTCCGACGAGCTACGGTAAATAAAACGTTGTGTTTTTATTTGTGCGAGGGGTCAGGATGGTCCAAGCAGCTCCATTCCTCATAAACTGGGAGCATGAAGGGAACGTGCACGTGCTGATAAATGTTTGTGTGTGCGTGCACGTCTCAACTTTCAGTTTGAAAGCTGCACGCCCCGGAGCTCGACTGATGGGTTTTTTGTGCCAGCGGGGCCTTTTGGTCCGATTTTATTCTCAGGAAAGTTTAATAAAACCCAAATTATTCAAATGTGCATGAGATCACGTAAAACACTTAAATAATGTCGCTCAAATATAATTTTAATGACATGCAGTCTGAATATTAGAGGAGACCAAAAAAAAAAGCAAATTCTTTGAATTTGCTTTAAATTTGGTCCATTTAAAATCAGCTGAAGTAAAAAAAAGAAGAAAGTTCACAACTAAAGGTGCAAATAAAAATACAAGCACAAGCTTCTCAGCAAACCTGTTCTAAAAACCATCTGACACTACAACACAAACAAACAAACAAACAAACAAACAAACAAACAAACAAACAGACATGCAGCAACAAACAGAACAAATCACAATCTGCATTGAAAACAGGAAACAGGAAGTTGGGCTGGAAGTCGCTGTGAGGCTTTTGTAAAGACGTGCGCACTTCCTGTCCGGAACGAGAAGAGCTTTTAATTTATTTTAATGATTCCGATCTCATTAAAACTCTGAGACCAGGATTAACGAGCAGAGAAACTGATCACATGACTGAAAACCTTCACCTGAAGTTGTTGGAAGAGTTTTACATTTTTAGATCAATTAATAAATAAAACGTGCATTAACCTGACGGCTGCAGAGACTCAGACACCCGTGATCCACGTTCTGTTCATATCGAGCCAAGAATGAGACTGTTTCTGAAACAGGCTTTTATTTTGAAGGACAAAATTGTCTGGGCAACATTTTTCCCAAAAGGCCGAATCAAGACAATGAAAACATCAAGAAGTGGAAAATGTTTTTTCTTGTAGCGTCGTTAGCGTGCTTGATTTAAAATACGTCTCCTTAATATTTTTTAGAATACAAGACATTGTTTCTGTAAACTAGTCCTCATGACAACACAGCAGTCCCGCGCTACTTCGCGGTCCGTTTATCACGGACTCGCTCCATCGCGGTTTTTCAAAATAAGATTGGACATGACACAATCAGCTGACTGATGGATGAGCAGCACGATCGACATGGATGTTTTTATTTTAAATTAATTATTTAAAATTATTTAGCACCTGCTGCACATTTGTGCAGCCCACACTGCAAAAACTTGTTTCAAAGTTTTTTTTAAATTTATATTTATGGATATTGGGGGCCAGATGGAGATTGTCCAAAGGCCACTTTTGGCCCTCGGGCCACTTTTGACCCTCGGGCCACATGTTGCCCACGTCTAGTCTGGGATGTTCTAATCAACCAAAACAAAGTTTGTTAAAGTATTTGTCATTTATTCAGTCTATAAAATCATAAATACTGAACTTGATCAGTGCATCCCTGACCTGCCTTCATTTATCACAACATTTCATACAAAGTACTGACTTGCTGTGTTTTAGTACTTTGAATGTTTACACATTATTATGTCAGCGTAGTTTTAAACCATTTATTCAATTTATATTTCTACGGTGTTTGTGTGAGCAGAAGCTCGCCGAACGTCCAGGATGTACGACACCTTTAAAAACCCCACAGAGACCTGCATCATCATCATCATCATCACCGTTTACTTTACCCGGAGACACGGTCAGAACGGAGCATGCTCTACGGTGGAGACGGCACCAAGAGAAGAGAGACAGGGAGAGGACCATTAACCGTTATCGGACCAGCACCACCAGGACAGACAGACTAACGGCAGGGTTGGAAACTCGGTACGGTCCAGGTCTGTCCTGATCCGGACCTCGTCTCCAGATTGTCCTTCAGTGATCCAGACTGTCCTCTAGTCTTTTAAAGCAGATTCAGTTTCTGTCCTCGTTCCAGAGGAAAGTTTTTAAATATCTGTGACTGAAAAGACTCCTGAACTCGGATGATCCAGACGAGACGCTCTTCGTCTGCTGCCCGCAGGTTATTAGTCTTAAAACCTTTTGTCCTTCCCTTGTGCAGTTTAGACGCATCGAATAGAGAATAATATTTGGCTAACAGGACTGGAACAGAGTGGAGAAGAAGCCAATGTCCCAAGAAAAACTGGAGACCCGTCGATCAAGACCTTAAAGGTTCTCCTGAACTATATCCATGTATCACTTTACAGCAGGGGGGTCAAACCCACCTACAAAAGGGGCCAAAATTAAAACCTTTTTCAAACTAAGGGCCGGTTTCAGAACCTGCATTAAATCAAGTTAGACACCCGACATCTTTTCTTGGTTCAGGTTCCTCAACGAGAGTTTGGTCCCATTTGACGTTCTCTGTTGCACTTTTGACATCACAATCAAAGATTACTGAAAAATTAAAGTGACAAAAGTAATTTACGTTTAAAAGAACATCTGGGGCCAGATAAGTTGTCAACGAGGGCCACACTTGGCCCCCGGGCCTTGAGTTTGACACATCTGCTTTACAGTGTAGCAGTTTGTGTTTTGTTTTTAATATTATTTTCTTTCATTTTATCTGATACGTTTCTTCCTATAAAGTGTCCTTGGGCGTCCTGAAAGGTGTTTTTTAAAATAAAATTATAATAATCATTATTACTATTTATGTTTCCCCAATTTATAAGCTTTCTTTTACGATGATCCACTGACATCATCCTTTGTTTAAACCAGGTCTCTCTTGTAGACGAGTCCTCGAGGCTCAATGAGACTAACCTGTAGAAATAAAGGTTGAATGAACATTAAATGGAATGAGTTTACTCCAGAAGCGTTCCAGATTTGTTGATATAAACTGCAGGTACGCACTCAACATAAACAACAAAACCCACGCAGAAGCTTGCGTCAGATCGACCGACATCAGACCGGCTGTAGTTTACAGGTAAACGAATAAATATGGTGGAATCAGACAAGCGTGGAACCTCAGAGAAGACGTTTAGGTGGAAATATAAAAACTAATCTGTGGCTAAAAGAACGGCGGAGCTCAACATTGAAACCTGCAAATCTCTTTCTGGGCGATAAGTTTTCAGTCACTTCGGCTGTTTCTGCAGTTAAACACGCTGAGGTTAGCGCCAGTCAAACGTTGCTTAAGACGTTTTAATAAAATTGACAGATTCACCTTCGGTAGGAGACGGACGGAGAGGATTCAGTTCCTTTGGGATTTTTTAAACTTTGGAACGAGCAGCTTTAAAAAGATTACAGGAACGTCTGACTGAAGGAGAACAAGAAAGAGGACAGACCGTGGTTTCCCGCCCTGCTCCTGCACACACTTGATAAAAACAGGAGGAGAATACCTGTCTGAACACCACACGATGAGGACAGGTGAGGGACAGAGACAGACAGGTTAACAAGTCTTCAAATGCAAATCTCAAAAAACAAACGTTATTCGTCGGAGCGGCGCCGCACAGCTCAGGCAGGTTGTCACCGCGGGGGGGGCGCTGCAGTCGCTCCAACACTCCCAGACAGACAGACAGGAAAGGACCCAAACCGGAGGAGAGACAGGTGGACAGACAGCTACAAAGACAGACAGGTGTACCTGTGGTGGATGGAGGAGTGGGGGAGGAGGGACAGGTGGGGGGGGAACTGGCTCCAGATCCTGCCAGGAAACAGAAACAGATTCAGATTTTTCCAAACGTGATCCCTGAACGTTCGTCGGGTCGAGCAGGCGGGCCTCGTTCCTGGGACCGACCAGAGTTGTTGTTGTTTCTGACGGAGACGTCGTCTTCGTTTTCAAAGGCCGACAGTTTGGACTTCTGCGAACAGAAACGTTTGACCTTTGACCCCTTCAGACAGCGTCACATTTAAAAGCTGCGGCTGTAATCGCTAGCGTCACCGACCTTCCTCGCCAGGATCTTCCTCCTCTTCCTCTCCTCCTCCGAGCCGTAGTGAGACTGGGCTCGGGTCAGCCGCCGGTGCTGATGGAGCTGAAACCAGACAACAGTTCTCAGCATCTTCCTCCAGAACCGACGGCTTTGATAGAACGAGACATTTCACGCCCGTCAGAACCGGGTCGGGTTTTATTCCAACTTTTATTTTGGAGCAGAAACGATTTTAGTTCAGATAAATAAAGTTAAGTGTTCATATAATTCTTGTTTAATGTTGTTGATCTGTTTATCGTCAGAACCAAAGGAGCTATTTTTCATATTTTAATATAAAACAGAGTGCAAACAGAACTATTAACGCAAGTTACTAAAGGGATAATTTGGACATTTTTGAAGCAGGGTTGTGTGGAAAAGGCGTCTCATTTAAACTCGAAGTGGAAATTTCTTTGTTCCAAGTTGGAAAAATCCAACATGGCCGCCTTGTGCAGGAAAATCTGCGACAGCTGCAGAAATAAACTCTTATTTTCTTACAGTTTGTCAGTTTGTATTTTATCTAATCTGCCACACAGTACTTTTGCAGCACAGTGGCTTGGTGGTTAGCACTGTTGGCTCACAGTGAGAAGGTCCTGGGTTCAATCCTGGGTTTGGACCCGAGGTCTTTGTGCGTGGAGTTAGCTTCTCCTCGTGGGTTTCCTCCCACAGTCCATCAACCTGCATGTTGGGCTGCATTCAGTCCCAGGAGGACCTCGTCACAAATAACCTCAGTGGGATTTTCCTGGTTAAAAAAGGTTATTAAAGAAATAAATGTATTCCTCGGTCAGTAAACTTTACTACAGTGTTTGAATGCAATGAAAAACTTGTTTGCTGCTAACGGTAGTTAGCCTGGTGTCTGCGCAGTTTGTTTACTTCTTCCTGGGAATGCATCGTTCTGTAAATATTTGAGAAATGTAAAATGACGGTGACGTAAAGGTTTATCAAACAGCGCATGAACCACGTGCGGGTCACGGGGAGTCTTTGCCTCAGGTGGATGAGTTTAAGTAACTACTTCTAAATTAAAATAAAAACGTGACCAACCATCCTCTGTTCTTCCTGCAGCCTCTTTTCCAAACTTCCCTTCACCGACTTCAGCGCCTCCTTCAACCTGCTGGGAACCTGAGACGAGAGAGGTTCAGATTCTCACATTTTCTTTCTGTCTGACTTTGGACAAACAACGACGTTAAACCAGGATGATGCTCCCACCTTGATCTGCAGTTTTTCTGAGTGTTTGAGACAAACACCGCTGAAGAGCCTGCAGGAAACGAAACATGACTCAGGCAGACAACAAACAGGATGATGCTTCTGTTTCCTGCAAGTTTACCGTTGTCACAATGTTCTGGTTGAAAGGAAACGCTTAGTTTCCATCACACGGACATTCAGTATCATTTTAAACTAACAGCTACACAACGTGAGCTTTGTGACTGGTTTAAACTGGTTTCTGAGACAGGTGGACTCACGGTGTCTGGATGAGCGCCGACACCGTTGGCATCCCGCTCTTACAGGCCTCTGTGGACAGGATGGACTGCAGTGCCGACACTGAACACACAGACACGTTTCAGACGTGTGCAGCTGGAAAAAGGACACGTGACGCACAGACTGTGTGTTTTGGTGCTCGTACAGACCCACGGAGCTGCACGGGGCAGCCGGGTACTGATCGACTGGGACGCTGTCCGGCGGTCGGCCGTACGTCATCTCGTATAATAAATGTCCGAAGCAGAAGACGTCGATGCTCTCCGTGCTCTGCAGATGAAAACAAAAAACAACACGGTTTGGATCAATTTATTCAGTTTTACATAAATGGATTTGTGAACCTGAGGCACATCATTCATTAAAAAAAACTTTTATTCAATAATTTATATGATCAGAACAATTATAAATAAAAATCAGCGTCAGGAACAAGTAAATAAGTTCAATGACAAAATGTCAGACCGAGTCGGCAACCGTAGAACTTTTGGATATTTCCTACGCTCATGAATGCATCCTTCCCCGTCACCGAACCGACGACAGGAAAAGGTGGTTCCCTCGACTCTGACGACCGAGGTCTCTGCTGATCCGAACCAGGACTGGAACCACACAGAAGAGGGACCTTTCTTCTTTGGTTCTTCACTCAAGAAGCCTCAAACTTTCCTCTGACCCGATTCATCCTGCATGGCATCGATCCCAGGAGCTGAAATATTCACCTCCTGGGGAGCAGAACTGTCCATTTGCTCTGACGGATTGAATTCTGGTTCTGCTCCGTTTGTGATAATCCCACCTCTCAACTTCCTAACTCCCTAAATTCTCCATCAGAACTCATTAAGACTCCACTTTGGGTCTCAAGTTACAGCATACATGGAATTAGATTGAAACTTATTCCCATTTTATTCATAAATTTAAAATACATTGGGTCAATTTAGAAATCTCTTCTGCAATAGATGCTCCTTTTAGTGGAGCGGTGCCGCTAACGAGTGCTAAAATTAATTTATTAACTAATAAACTATTATTACAATCTATCCTTCCACTACCTTCTCCAAACAAAGCTCGGTAAAATTAACTTGAGGCAAATAAAAAGCTGAGATTCTTTTTAAAACTGGGTCCATTAGACCAATGGTTCCCAACTCTGATCCTTGAGGAACACCATCCTGCAGGTTTCAGTTGTTTCCTGCTCCGACACACCTGATTCAGTGATTTAATTACTTCAAGTTCTGCAGAAGCCGGTTCATCACCCATTCATTCAAATCAGGTGCATCAACGCAGGGAAACAAGTGAAACATGCAGGGTGGAGTTCCTCAAGGAACAACTGTGCACTCAGGACCATCTCTGGTTTGAAGGACATCCAAGCTGACGGAGCTGAACACATCTGAAGAGGAACCATCAGTCCTGAAATTTACAAACAGGGTTCAGAGCAGCATAAAGTCCTGTCTGGACCCTTTAGGAACAGCAGAACCAGGTTCTGGATGAAAACAGCAGCTTCACAGCAGAAGAGTCCGACTGTTGGACTGATGCATCTGCAGTTCAGATCTTTTACTGAAAACACCTGAAACATCTCAAAAGAGAAAATCCCATGAAGAGGAGCCGGGACTGCCGAGACGTTAGAACCAGACAAGAACTTCCTCAGAACCGTCTCCTCAGAACCGTCTCCTCAGAACCGTCTCCTCAGAACCGTCTCCTCAGAACCGTCTCCTCAGACGACCACGGCCGGGCTGGTTTTGGTTTTTAAAACCCTTCGATCATCAAGTTCACACCAAGAACTTTGTTCTATGTTTTATCCTGACGTGCTTCATTTATGAGATCGACGCGTTCCGTTTGCACATTTCTCGGCACGTTAAACTAATCCAGCTCGTTTCACCCGGTTTACGTACGTTGATCTTCCTGAACTGGGTGAAGGCCGGTCGCAGCATGGAGGGAACTCCCAGAATGCCGTTCTCCACGTCCGCCAGCCGACACACGCCGTCGTCCACAATGACGTTGGATGCGTGCAGGTGACCGAAGAACAGGCCGCTGTCGTGGAGGAGCTTCAGACCCTGAAAACACACAGACTAGAGCTCAGACGTTGACCTTCCTGCTCCGTTCAGCCTCACCTAAAAAGACGGCATGAAGCCAAGGACGGCTTTGAAGCTTCTGAGCTTCAAACTGAGAACATCGTGTTCAACATTGCTCCTGGAGCCATGTCTGAACCGTCCATCACCAATCCGGGGCCATTTCTGAGTTTAATAAACAGATCGACTCCATTTAGGAGAAAAGCTTCTTCCAGTTTAGATCAAACTAAACCAGGTTTGTTGAGAACGACTCGTGTTTTTATCACAACATGCCTCCACTCCTTCTGTGGACTTTACGTTGGGAGTCTTTGTTGAAAGTGCTGCTGCTCGTCTTCCAACAGGAACACGCAGATTTGAGCCCATCTCATCAGTCCTGTCCTCGCTCCATTTATAAAGGTCTGACTGGTCTTGGACCCAATATCTCTGACTTCAGTCTTTAGTTCCTCCGCAGCCCTGAGTTCATCTGACCAGCTGCTTCTGGTCGTCTTGAAACTGAAGCTCAGAGGAGATCAGGGTTCGTCAGACACCTAAAATTCATCTGGCTCCTTCACTTCATGTTTTTATTCTCACTGATGTTCCACACAGTCTGAATTCATTTATAAATAAATTATCAGAGCGGAGCTTCTGTGAGTTTACCTCCAGGATCTGTCGGCCGTATAGTTTGAGCTGCTCCAGCTCCAGGCCGTGACTTTTCTTTGGGTTGAAATATTTCTTCAGATAATTTTCTCTGGGCTTCACCTGCGAGGAAGAAGAGCAAAGAGGGAAACTGTCAGCTTTGTGGAGTGGACAGAACCACCTGCAGCTCAACGTTGGAAAAACTAAAGAGCTGCAGGTGGACTACAGGAAGAAGATCAACCCCCCAACCCCATCATCAAAGGTACTAAGGTGGACACTGTGGACTGCTACAAGTACGTGAGTTCACAGACAAACTGGACTGGACAGCTGACACCAACGTCCTCTACAAGAAAGGACAGAGTCGCTTTTTTCTTCTGAGGAGACTCAGGTCTTAACATCTGCAGAACCATGCTGCAGATGTTTTACCACTCTGTGGTCTCTGCAGGACCATGCTGCAGATGTTTTACCACTCTGTGGTCTCTGCAGGACCATGTTGCAGATGTTTTACTACTCGGTGGTCTCTGCAGGACCATGCTGCAGATGTTTTACCACTCGGTGGTCTCTGCAGGACCATGCTGCAGATGTTTTACCACTCTGTGGTCTCCAGCATCTTCTACACTGTGCTGTGCTGGAGCAGCAGGTGAAGACAGCTGATGCCAACAGACTTGATAAACTCCTGAAGAGAGCTGGTTCAGTTCTGGGAGTGGACCTGCAGTCTCTGACAGAGGAGTCTGAGCAGAAGATGTTGAGGAACCTGCTTCAGATCCTGAACACGTCACCCCCCCTGCATGACACCCTGGACTCAGCACCTTCAGTCGTAGACAGACACCGAGGTGCTCCACAGAACAACACAGGAAGTCCTTCAAACTTTTTAACTCCTCCCCCTTTCTACACAGGACAATAAAATGAATCCTGCACTGAACTCATGTTTCTGTCTGCACCTGTTTTACACTTTAATTGTTGGTATTTTTATTCTGTTATTTTTATATCTTGTGTGATTCCTTGTGTATAAAACTCTGTCACAACAATTTCCTGCAAGATCAATAAAATGTATTATATTATCTCTTATCTTATGATTTCATTTAAATTATGTCGACAGGACATAGGTAAAATTTTACAAGTAAATTAAAACACTTGTTCTTTAGGAAGACATTTAAACATTTTTGCAGCCAAAACTACATTTATATAACATTTGAGCCTGGATGACAAAACAAACAAACAAACAAACAACAACAACCTCAGACAAAAACAAGCCGTCCTGAAATGAACCCATTGGAGGATTAAAGGTTGCAACAAGCCTCAGTGACCTCAGTAACAGATAAACACCGGACGTGCTCGTGTTTTACAGACGCTGCAGTGACATCAGTTTCTGGAGTCACCATCTGGGTTTTGATCGGTCCTCGGATGCAGCTCCACCTGTTCGAAACCTGAACCTGATCTCCACAGTCAGGTTCAGTCAAAGCAGACCTCCTGAAGATGCTCTGAAGACGTCGAACCCTCGGCAGGTTTGAGCAGCTCTCACCTTACAGATGTGGTCCCTCAGGGAGCCGCTCTCACTGAACGGTCGGATGAGCAGAGCCGAAGACTCGCTGGTGCTGGAGAACACCAACGGACAGAGGTACGGAGTCTGGAAGAGGAAAACATTTACAAATAATCCAAATGCAACGTTAAACGTTTGGACATTTCAGTTTTACTCTGGGATGAATTACGCAACATGAAGGTGAAAACTGAATCTGCAGTGACGTGGATCATCGACGTTAAATCGTGAGTTTTCTGTGCGTACGTACGGAGAGGTTCGTGAGCAGCTTCAAGGCCGACTGCAGGTCTTTGTCAGAGAGGAACTTGTCAGGACCCAGGTCCACCTACAGAAACCAGAGTCAGACGGTTCAGATTCTCTGCAGGAGCTGATCTCAGGTTTCACGTTGCTGCAACAAAACCTTCTCTGCAGATTTACGGAGCTGAAGGCTCGTTTGGAGTCGGGAGGAGGCCGAGGCGCGTTACTCACCCAGCTCAGCACGTATCGCTCTTTAGGCTGCTCTTTGTTTTTGATTAGAAAGTATTTCTTTCTGATCCTCCAACCTGAAACAAACAAAACCCGCAGGACGTTAGAAACCTGGACAGAAATTATTTTACAGATAAGTGCTGCAGAATTTAAAAGCATTTTCAGAAAATCCTTAATTTTATTAGCGATTAAAGTTAGCTGCAGCACAAGCTTTGTTTTTTAAACTAAATATTTATCGTTTTCTCGGCTAAAGACTGAAGTTTGAACGGAGGAGGGCGGACTTCATTTTATTTTCTTACATTGGGCAAAATGTGGAAAATGAAAATACAAACCGAATCCTAAAAACAGCTTTCGTTAAGCGTCGAGCTCACATGAACTTAAACTTTCTGATTTGTCAGATTTTTATCTTAAAATTGTTAAAAACATTTTAATTTTTAATGAAGTCAAAAACAGCAAAAGTCTAAAAGATAACTGAACAATCTGCTTCAAACTGGAAGAATTTTACTAATAACATTTTTTATTTTTCACAAATTCTGATTTTCCGTCCAGCCCCTCAAAGACCGATGCCGAGGGATGACTTTGGAGTGGTAGTAGCTGAGAGTCATCCCCAGCACAGACTCAGAGCTCCAACAGCTTTGTTGAAATCTTTAGCAGGCGGGGCGGCGGGCGATATGCAACAAAGCCTCCATCGTTCATAAACTGCATGAAGAGAACCGAAGACGGGATGATGCCAACGTTCTGCCAAAGCCTCAAAGGAACCGAGTCCTACCGATGTCTCTGAGCGGCTCCAGAACCTCCCACTTCAGGTCGGACCTGAAGAACATGGAGACCTGCTGCAGGGCGATCTCTGAAAGACACAAGGAACAAAAACAGCTCCAGAGTGAACGTGAAGACATTTTATTTTGAGTAGTCTTCTTTCCGTCACTCTCTTTGGGGATCTGCATCCGTCTCATGTGGACCCAGTGGTTGGGTCAGAACCTGATCCTGGGTCAGGACTCAGGAAACACCAAGCTGAGGGGCTTGAGATGATCTCCAGAAACCAAATAAATTTGAACTAAACAACACTTCCTCATATTTGTGACAAAAACATAAAAACGATAGTCATGAATGTAAATTAATGAGTTCACACTGAACGTTTACGCTTCAGCTAAATTTTTTATTGTTCAACATCTGGAGTCACAAATCATTCATATTTTTATTGAACAGCTCTGAAAGGTTTAGGAGCCATTATGGTCTCCCAGCATCCTCGTCCGTCTCAACAACCCTCTGCAGATCCATCAGCCTCCTCTGGTGATCGTCTCCTCCTCCTCCATCCTTTGTCCAACTCGTCCACGTCTCTCTGATGGACACGTTCCTCATCCTGTCCATTATGGTCCCTCCCAGAGAAGATCTGAACATCACAGCAGTTCTTTCATAAATCTTCCTGTCACAGATCCTCTCCTCTCCACAACAAGATGTTACTGCACGAGCAGCAGAAGGTTCCTTGTGTGCACGAGGAACCCATTTTAAATGGTTTGTTCACAAACGTTCCTTTAGGACGTACGCAGCTCCACAGTCACACAAGGAAAGATCAAACTTGTTTTACAGTCTGTTGGTTGGTGTGAGGACGTTCCTGAATCGTTCTCAGATCCGTTTTTTTTCTGTACGGTTTTCAGCACACGACTCGTTCCACAAGGTTTGTCCCATTTAAGCAATTCATAAATCAAAACAAGCAGCACGGTGGATCAGTTGGTAGAGCTGCTGCCTCTCAGCGAGAAGGTTTCAGGTTCAAATCCCAGGCGGGGGCCTTCCTGGGTGGAGTTTGCATGTTCTCTCCGTGAGTTTTCTCTCACAGATCAAAAACAGTTTGTGATGAAGTTAAACTCAGAGCTGCTCCTCAAATAAATAATGTTAATTTATTATTTTATATATGAATATTTATGTTCAGTGCCCGAGACGACTTCTGTCGTGACTTGGAGCTGAAGAAATAAACTCAACTGTCCCCAAGTGTGAGAGTCTCATTTGTCTCTGTGATGGACTGGAGACCTGGCCAGGTGTCCCCCGCCTCTCACAGTGGTACATGGACAAGGGCACCAGTGACCCCTGTGACCCGAAAAGTAAGAAGTGGATAGAGGATGGATGATGGATGGATGATGGATGGATGGATGGATGGATGGATGGAAAGGTTCGGCTCATTCAGGACATTCCTGTTCTGATGTTTCATTGAAAATGAAAAGAGTTCTTCACATCCTTCAAACTGAGTTTAAAACATTTTACTGATCGTTTCAGCTGTTGTTCTGGTTCAGCTTTTTTTTTTTTTTTTAGCTTCTTTCAGCCATTTTATTTTTCTCAGCTTCTTTGATAATTTCAGCTTTTTCTGCCATTTCAGCTGTTTTTATACTCCCGACTTTTTCTGCTATTTGTTCTTGATCATTTGTGCTCCTTTCTATTGATTTAAATTTTTAGGCTCTTTTCAGCATTTTCTGCTCATTTCAAGTTTTTAGCTTTTCAGCTACTTTTTTCACCAATTCCAGCTTTTTTCCTGCCGTTAGTTCAGCTCGCATGAACAGTTCAGTGATGAAACCTTTTCAGCAGGTTTCAGCAAACACTCAGCAACAAGCGCACAGGAATAATTAAGCAGTGAAGGAAAGTTCTCACTTTAGTCTCCATGAAAACTTCAACCCGTTTGTGTGTGAACCGACCTGTGTAGTTTGCAGAGTAGGTGTTCGGGTCGAGGAACTTCTTGACCATCAGAGACGTGGAGATGAGGGGCTGCTGGGTAATGGAGTCCAGATAGGCCTGCAGTCCTTTCTGCCTCTCTGCTATGAACTCTCTATCCATGTTTCCAATCAGCTTCTTGGGAGGAAGAGGGAGACCGACACCGCACACCTGCAGGAAGGAAAATCATTTGTGGTTGGCACTTCAAGGTTTTCTTCCATCCAGCCTGGTCAGACGTATAAACACAGATAAGTTCAACTGAACGTGGACTCTGAGCAGGTTTCCCACAGTTCTGCTGACTGAAGATGATGGAGGGGGTGGGGGTCAGGGTCAAAGAGACCAACCTCGGCACAAAAGTTGCCTGAAACTGTGAAAAACTCGTCAAAGTCAGAACCACCTTGAATAAGAGCTGCAGCTCAGCCCGATCCCCAGAACGGCCCGACTGCTGTAAAACTTTACGTCCTGAACTCCTGCGCTCACATTTAGGTCCAGCAGGAAGACGAGGCGGTGAGCAGTCATCTTACACAAACATGGAGCATTTTAACGTCGCTGCTCAAAGAAACTTCGTCTTTCTGGTTAGAGGTCATGAATTTAAAACCCAGGAGCTCCGGATCAGCCTCATTTCTTTACATTTTAAATTCCTTTACATTTTCTGCATCCTTTGTGATTTCGTTCAAACGTTTCAAAATGATTTGGTGAGAAACTCAGGTCGAAGGCAAGAAGGTGAAAAACAGAAGACGAGACACTCGGATCAGATAAACTACACAAAAATATAGATTTATCTTCTTTTTTAATCTATCAATGACTTGTCTGGTTTCTTTAACAACAAGTCCTTATTGTTTATTTACCGTCACCTTAGAGACTTTCTGTCCACAAGAGGTTCAGCTGGAGTCAAACAGAAAGACGTCGGCTCGCCTGTTCCTCTGCTGACCTGCAGTGCAGTTAATATTAACAGCTGATGGTGTTTTTGTCAAACAAAATGATTTAAAACCAGTTTGTTCAACGTGAACACACACACACACACACACAGGAGCAGCCGAGCACTCTGGGAAACCGTAAACTTTCATCAAATTAAACAAATAAAATCCTCAGAACCAGTTTTCTCTTAAGTCTCTAAGTTAAACAACAAAATAAAAACCTATTTGTATAAAATTTCAAAACACTTTAAAATAGGACAAATTATATATTATAGTTATAAACAGCTGCACATGATCAAACCTTGTCTTGACTTTTAAAATAGCTGATAATGTTCTGCTGGCGTTTTTTTACAGCTTTATATTCAAAGTGGATCTGCTGATAAAAATAACTTATTTAATCTCTTTATTTTGCTTTAAACACGGATCATTGGGTGTTTTTAGTGACACGTATGAACTCACCATCAAGCTGCTGTTGAGGATGTCGAAGTCGCTGTAGCGTCGAATCACCTGCAACAGACGCACCTGTCAATGTCACATCTTTACCTTTTTAATTTAGATTCCACTTCATACAGGATGACCTCCTACGACCTCAGTGACCTCCTACGACCTCAGTGACCTCCTACGACCTCAGTGACCTCCTACGACCTCAGTGACCTCCTACGACCTCAGTGACCTACGACCTCAGTGACCTCCTACGACCTCAGTGACCTACGACCCCAGTGACCTACGACCTCAGTGACCTCCTACAACAAATAAATCACTGCATGTCCAACTGATCAAGATGGCCGCCACAGCTAATCAACAAACGTGCTCAAGTCAGCCACTTCTATATTGAGCTGAAGCTCCATGTGGTAGTAGCTGAGAGTCACCCTCAGGTGACATTCTGTTTTTAACGTCGCAGCGCCGTCATCATCCTGTTGACAGAAGATTAAAGTGAAGCTACGAGAAAATGTAGACGCTCCATGAACGAGTCCAGCTGAATTAATCGAATTTTATCAGAAGACAATTTACAAACAAAGTGTCACTTATTTTATTTGTTACAGTTTTAAATTGGATTTTTGAAAAAGAGACAAGTTCGACTAATTCCATACTTTTCTCTGAAAATAAAAAGAGCATGTTGAAAACATTTAGTTTAACTTTTATAAGACAGCCTTTGATGCACAAACTGATTTAATACGATAATCTCAAAACCTTAAAACAAACAAACAAACATAATTAATATTTTACAACATGTGCATGAACGCATCACCAAATGTTACTGTACATCACAGAAATCTACATTTAACTGAAAATTACCAACAACTGTGGATAGAATTCATTTCAAGACACACCAGGGCTTTTTATCTAAACTGCTCAGGGGCCACATATTACTGAGGGCCAGCAGCTCAGGGGCCACATGTTACTGAGGGCCAGTAGCTCAGGGGCCACATGTTACTGAGGGCCAGCAGCTCAGGGGCCACATGTTACTGAG